ACTCATTCTGATTGCAAGAACAAATATTCTGGCTAATAGAATGCATTAATGCGCAAACTTACATAAATGTATACAGACACACATAAATCGTGTGTACAATACACAGCTTTTACAGTGGTTTTTTGAAGCAGCCTTTCTCCTGTCACCGGAAAAAGCATTCAGAGCAGCTGAGGAAACACTCAGTGTGCATGAGGCCTTAACCAAATACAGAATAAGCAGCTTCTTAATGTTACAAATTAAGCTGGTGCCATGTCTGCTGCCCCAGGTTACTTGTTTCAGGGTGGATCCTTTCTCTTGCAGCATCCTATGGAACCACTCTTGCATGCAGGGACTAGAGTTGTGTCTCTCCACACTGCATGCATCAATAAACAAAAACCCAGCACCATGCCTAGGATGGTAAGGCACGCCCTGCTCTTCCCCCACCCTTCTCCAAGCTAACAGACTGGAAACTGCACTGTCCACTGTTAACTCCTTGCTGTGAAGACTGGAAATTTAGGGAAGCAGCACTGAGTGAGCAGGAGCAAACATAATTGAAACTAATAGTTTACCATGTAATGTTTATTTTATTTTGCTCAAAGTGATATTAAAGTGGTTGTAAACCTGTGACATGGAATATGAATAAAGCTGATCCTTCTATAGTGTGTACTTGTCCCAATTAAGAGCACTAAGGCTGGCCATACACTATACAATTTTCTGTCCAATTTCCTTTAGATTTACCTTCAACTATGTAGTGCAAGTGCCTGCCTAATTAGATACAATTGATAGTGTTGTTTAGGTTTGAACTCATATTAGATTTACCAAAAAACCATCTAAAAGCAAAAATCTCAAGAAAATTGTATAAATGTATGGCCAGTCTTGGTGTCTTTTTTTCTGCTGCTTCATTCCTCTGCTATAAGCACAAATCACTTGGGACAAGTTTTCCTGACACCAATAGAAAAATGTTGACAGGGGTGGGAACACCAGCAGATTGACAGCTTCAGCTCTGTTCCTGTGACCTGTGTGGAGGGGGGCGTGCTCCTTCCCTCCAATCAGATCTCTCCTCACTGTGTTCTGCAGAGTGTAATTTCAGCTCTCCGCCCCTCTAAAAGCTTTCTAAATTCTGGCCTTAGAATGGATGTAGAGAAGAGAAGACTGCAGATAGACAGGTACAACTTATGTAGGAGGATTCGTTTCATCTCTGTGTATCAGGCCTGCAACTTCACCAATTAGTTGTAAGGGTTTACAACCACTTTAACCACTAGCCTACAGGGCACTTATACCCCCTTTCTGCCAAGCCAATTTCCAGCTTTCAGCACTGTTGCACTTTGAATGACAATTGCGCAGTCATGCAACACTGTACCCATATGAAATTTTTATCAGCTTTATTTTGGTGGTATTTAATCACCTCTGGGTTTTTTTTTCTTAAACAAACCAAAAACCACTGGAAAATTTTGAAAAAAAAAAAAAAAAAAAACTTTTTTCTTAGTTTTTGTTATAAAATTTTGTAAATAAGTGATTTTTCTCCTTCACTGATGTGCGCTAATGAGGCTGCACTGATGGACACCAATAGGTGGCACTGATGAGGAAGCACTGGTAGGTGGCACTGATGGGCATTGACAGGCATCACTGATGGGCACTGAAAGGCTGATAGCACTGATACATGGCACGGATAGGCGGCAATGACTGGCACGGATAGGCGGCAATGACTGGCAGCACTGATGGGTGGCACTGATTGGCAGTGATAGGTGGCACTGACGGGTGACACTGAAAGGCAGCTCAGATGGGTACTGATATGTGGCAATGATGTGCACTGGTAGACACTGATATGTGGCATTGATGTGGCACTGATACAAGGCACTGATGGACACTGACAGGTGGAACTGGTGGGGCTACACTGATCATCAGGGCACACTGATCATCAGTGCCCCGATGATCAGTGTACATGTCCCCTCCGCGGAAAGCCGATTACCAGCTCTCCTCTCGAGCGGTCAGCGTGACAGCTTGAGAGGAGAGAAATGCCGATAACCGGCATTTCCCTGTTTACATGTGATCAGCTATGATTGGACACAGCTGATCACATGACCGAGCCGACATCTTTGACTCTTTCCATGATCGGCTGTGTCCGAGGGACACAGCGCACCGCCGATCGCCGCGCGCTCCCTGAGTCGCGCATGCGCGGTGAGAATGGGAGGATGTCATATGACGTCCTCCCAGAATGAGAGAACCACCTTGCGTCCGTCATATTACTATATGGCGGGCGGGAGGTGGTTAAAAAGGAACAAAAAAAAAAAAACAATGTCATACTTACCTGCTCTTTGCAGTGGTTTTGCACAGAGCAGCCCCAACCCTTCTCTTCTTGGGACCCCCGCTGGCGCTCCTGGCCCGTCCCTCCTGTCCTGCTGAGTGCCCCAAGAGCAAGCAGCAGGTCCAATCACACACAGAGCCGCAGCTCAGTTCGACCCTGCCCCCCTCAATGGCTAGCTGTGATCGACAGCAGTGGGAGCTAATGAAATCTAAACAAAGTGCCACGCAATATAATATATTATTGTCAGAAAGATAGTATCTTATCATATAAAAGTATAAAAAGAAACAATATTACTATATACAGTGCATACAATAGCATTTGTGCAACTCAACCAAAATGGCAGCAGCTTACATAATCACTAAGTCCCCGGTCACACTGGTTGCGACTTGGCATGCCATGCAACTTGCATATCCCATGCCAAATCGCACCCTATTGTCCACAATGATAGCAGTCATATTGGTGCGGTTCCGACTGGATCGGAGCTGCACCAATTTCTAAAAGAAAAAAAATAAATAAATAAATAAAAAAAAAAGGTCACACCCAAACACTCAAATACATGAGGATTTTGGGCTAATAGAATTTATTTTTCAAAAGATAAACATTAAGCTAGTGCTTGGAGCCTATATTCCAGATATATCCTAAAAAGCTGTCAACTGTAGTGCACAGTCATCTACAGAAATGCAGCAGGGACATATCAGGTTGACAGTGCAGTTCTGTTTTGTCTATCTAGTGATAACGTAAGTTCATTTTCTGGAACCTCTCCAACAAGTAGCAGTCTAAGTAAGCATATCTTAAAAAATTTGGTTTTACTTTTTTTTTTTTTTTAAACCACAAAGCAATGATTTATAGGAGTTTATTAAAAGACAGATATGCATATTAAAAGGAGATCTATGGCCACAGTATGCACTTTTTTAGAACATTAGCATTGTAATAGCAATGTAAACAATAGTTATAACTGACAATCTAATATAACCTTACCTGAAAAATCTTTTATGTGGCGAGTGCTGGCAGTCTTTAGGTCATTTCATTCTACACCTTCCTGGATTCCCTGCATGCTTTGTAGCTTCTATTCTGCTGTTGACATTTGATTTTTAAAGGACTACATATCCCATGTTACCCTGCTGCCTGCACGCTGTGATTCCTGTACTGACTCCACCTCTCACCACCTCTGTAGTTCAGAAGGCAGGCTCTGTGAAATGTGTGACACAGCACTGCCTACTCACAGGGCATAGGGAATATGTGTCATAGAATTCAAGGAAGTAAATCTTACAAACCTCAATTGATTAACAGGAGCTAAAAACAATTTATATACAAAGTGGAAATGAATTTGGGTTTTTATATTTTGACCATAGGTACCCTTTAGAAGATTTCCCACTTTTAAAGCCCCTGTCACTGGGATGTGCTCCCAAATAATCAGCAGGACACTGGACACAAATAGATTTTTTAAGGCAAACCGCAAAACCCCATTGCTCAATGATAGAAAAACACAGCAGTTCAGCAAGGGCTCTGGCTAGAACCTTTTGAATCCGTTGAAAGCTGGATACCTCGCTAACTACACTTGTCAAAAGAGCAACTTGTGGACTGGTTCTGCAGTTCTGGCATTTCATCTGGTTTCAAAACTCAGAGCCAGAAAACCCATGTAGCAAATGAAAGTTAAAAGAAAAATCTGTTTAGGATCAGTGTCTCAAAAGAAAACAAAAAAAATTTGTACATTACAGCTTATACCTCTTCCACATGGAGGGACTCTGCAAGCAGTCCGCTTGCGCAGTGAGGGATCTGTCTGCTGATCCCCGCTGAGCAGGTGGATGGCTAGTCCGTGTCTGCTCCATTTATGCAGAGAGGACACAGACAGGCTGCTCTCCTCTATAGGCGGTCAGATGTAAATGGACCTCCTGTCTGTTTACTCCCGACTGCCCTCCGATCCGCTAGGCAGAAAGGGGAACTGATCTCTAACCGTCTCTTTTTAGCAGATCGGATTGGATGTAGGTGGGTGTAAACTAACATGTCCATTTACACCCGCCACTCCTTACAGGAGAATGGAGGGTCCAATTGGGTCCATCTAAAAAACTGACAGGGGGACCGGATCAGTCCACCCCTGTAAAAGGGGCCTTACTGATGAATTCAGTTGTTTGGATGTGAAAGTCCAACTGCGTATATCTAAGTTTTTGGACAAAAGAAAAAATTGTTCACTGGACAAAAAGTCCTCTTAATCTGCCAGGAAGAGAGAACCTTCTTAAAATAGCATTTTTGATGAAATTCTTATACATTCTAGCCAAATTACATCTCTAAATGTGTATTTTAGGAGATGGACTCTTTAATCTTGACAATTACAGTATTTGGCATTACATACTATGTCTTGTCTGCATTAAAGTTTCTTACAGGCCTGTCTGCTGCTGTACACTGAGCTGCACATGTGCAGTTCAGTGCACAGTTTTGGGCAATGCTGGGATGACTGAACTCCCACTCATGCGTGGGATGTCAGCTCAGTCCGGCCAATTAAAACTGCCAGAAAATGATACCCAGAAGTCGCCCAGCCAAAGAGGACAGCGGCCAGCAGGGAGCTCCAGGACACCGCAGCGCTGGAGTGAAGGGGAGAAAGGTTCTGCTTTAAAACACTACAATTGCAGCTAACTGTAAAGAAAAAAAAAACCTGGTCTAAAATAATGAACAGATTTGTTAGAACACAACCAGTAAAATAAAGTAAAAAAATACATACCCGTCTCTTCCTTTACTAATAATTTTCACCTCAAAATAGTATATCCCACAGGCAGCTGGGATAGGGTGTGTAGCCCGCACCGAAGCGGCATCTCTTGATGTTTTGCCATGTCCTGTGATTAAAAAAAAAAGTTAATGGATTAAATGGATCTAACAGAAACTTTGCAAGTCTGAACGAATTAAGTCTGGATATATTGCACAACATTGAGTAACAGTCTTAACTTTAAAAAAAAAAAAAAAAAGTCCTTTTATGATTAAAAATCTCTCCTTACACGGACAGCTTTGACTAAGTTTGCAAGGCACATACAGCAAGAATGAGGTCAGCCTGGAAGATGCATTGCTTCAGACTCTCCTCTCCCAATCGTCACTCACACAGAATTTATACTGAAAGTTTGTAACAGGTCACAGAATTAGGGTCCATTCACCGCTTTATAATGCAGCGTGGGTATCACCACTCTGTACTGCACCATTTTTTTTTGTAAACCACTTGCCCTCTAGAGGATTTACCCCCCTTCCTGACTAGGCCATTTTTTGCGATACGGCGCTGCGTTACTTTAATTGACAATTGCAACGCTGCACCCAAATGAAATGTAAGTCCTTTTTTCCCCACAAATAGAGCTTTCTTACGGTGGTATTTGATCGCCTGTGCGGTTTTTATTTTTTTGCACTATAAACAAAAAAAAGACCGACAATTTTGAGAAAAAAAAAAAAAACAACAACACAATATATTTTTGACTTTTTGCAATTAAACATATCCAGTAAAAAATTTAAACAATCTAATTTCGTCATAAATTTAGGCCAAAATGTATTCTGCTACATGTCTTTGCTAAAACAAATCCCAATACGTGTAAACTAATTGGTTTACATGAAAGTTATAGTGTTTACAAATGGTGATATATACACACACTGGAATTTTTAAATTTTTTATTTACTAGTAATTGCGGCGATCAGTGACTTATAGCGGGACTGCGGTGGGCATGCTGACACTGGGGGGCAACTGACTTGGCGTCACTGACATCCCCAGTGACACCAATACAGTGAACAGTGCTAATAAAAAGTACAGACACTGTACTAGTGACACTGGGCAGGAAGGGGATAACATGCAGGGCGATCAAAGGGTTAACTGTGTGCTGTTTTACAGTGGGCTGTGTGTGTGCTTTACACTGTAAGCACACAGTTTTGCATTTGCAGCAGAGCCATACAAAGCAGTGTGCAGAAGCTGACAGGGGAGAGATCTGTGTTGTTTATACACAGGTCTCTCCCCCGTCGGAGATACTCGATGATCACCGGGTGCCGGTGAGGAATCACTGGCCTGGAAGTGCATGCACTACTCTTTTTAAGTGCACCGTGCCCGCACGCCACCACAATGCAATGGTGTGAATCGGGTACACAAGAGACATTTTTCCTTCTCATGTGGTAGGACTGCGCTGCAATAACCGCATGAACTGCATGACATGTGAAATAACATTGCTTCCTAAGGTGCCTGTTCACATATGTCCAATGCACAGGCAGTGCGGATTGAAAAAGAAAGTCATGTCCAATTTCTGAGCAGTGCATTCTGGTTCAGGTACAGATTACAGGCTATTGACTTCTATGGGAACAGTTTATAAACCGCACATGTCATTCGGTTCAGGTCAGGATTTTATCCTGTTCACAACTGATCTAAACCTGTCTTGAACCTGATGTAAACCTGACCTGAACCACTGAACAACTACTATACCAATTAGCTGTGAAACCTGAGCTTCCATCCGCACCGCATATGTGTGAATCAACACTTAGAGGCAGCAGGGAGCTGAACTATAGGAGGTGTGTGCTTCTTGTGCCACGGGTTGCTTCAGTACCAGGATCCCAGGAGAAATGGGAAAGCCCAAAAAAAGTGGCAGCAGGTGATGGCGGCAGGAGGGGGGGGGGGGCGCTTCTGCTCCCCTTCACCATGTAAAAGTGATTGAGCAGCTGTTGAGCCGCTTGGATCACTTTCACAAAACAGAGAATCACCGGCAGGAATATTTGATACCAGGATCATGCTTGCAACTACATGCACGATCCTGGTATAGCGGCTTCCCGACGAGGCCTTAGATATATACGCACAGCAGTCAGGAAACTATTACCTAGGGTTCTATGAGCAATTTTTGCCTCTCAAGGTAAATAAACACCAAAACAATGATCTTTTTAGCTATCTGTAAAGAAGGAGGGGGGTGTAATTCTTTCCACTAACCACAAATGTAAGGAGTATTCTTACCACTAATCACGCTAATGTACACATAGTAAATGCACATACTGTATATATATTTAATTAGCGGGCTTCCCTGAGCCTCAAGGTAATGTAAGTGATCTGTGTATTTTATCCATCTCAAATATCTTCTTTTATTTTTACATTTATGCACAGAATTTCACTTTGCTCTAGTCTTGTGATGTAAACACTTTTTAATGTCATTCTGGAACTCTGGTATTGAGAACATGTACTGAAATAGAGTGAGTTGAAACATAACGATTCAACAATATTCCATATATTATTTGGTCTTAAAATTCTGCCGAAAAAAAAAATAAAAAAATGTAGCAAGGAACTCCCAGAGTCAGATTACATGGGTTTCTGTGGGTTGGCATTCCCACTGTATAAAGAAACAGTCACTCCCGTTCCACTATTGCTCAAAAGTCAAACCCAGCTGGAACTTTTCACCTTGTGATTCCAGACTCAAATGGAATTATAAAGTGTCAGCTTACCATGCAGAAGAAGGAACAGAAGTTGGCAGTGTGTCACTTCTATGTATGAGTCAGTGCGTGCAATCACTCATTTCCTTGCCTTCTTAAGACCATTGGGTCTTTTTAACCAGGCATAGAGTACTGGGAAACTATCTTCGGACATGGTTTTATATTTCCAACTGCATAACAACTTCCTCCTTTCCTACAAAAGAACTTATTTCTTTGGTACAAATTATTTCACAAAAAAAAAAAAAATTACATAAAACACTTGTTGCACTACAACTATCTTATCTGCCAGAGTATATTCAGAATTTGTTTTCGTTCATTTTTCCAGCCAGAGTGCCAGAATTTAATGTGATTAATTAAGATCATATGACCAAGCCATCCACAAAATTCTAACATAACTTTATAAACACTAAGTATTTTCTTTTAGTGCACAAGAGGTTTAACAAAGAAAGCAAAAATAGGGTCCCACCCATAATGGTTTGGCAAATGATATTTTGATTCCCAGCCGACAGACTAAAAGAAAGAGAAAAACAACATATCTCCATGATTATTGCCAATTTAGAATACAAAATTATTTAAAAATTGCTATAGTATTCAAAATTTGGGGCTTAAGGATAAAATATTCAAGCTACAAAGTGAAGGTATCCGAGTATTAAAAACAACACATATACACACTAGGGAAGTGCGAGACCCTGAAAATAGCTTTGTGGTAATGATAATATACAGTTTTAAACGTACCTCAGAAGGACAGATTACTGGTAATATAATCATCATAAAATGATGAAGGTAAAAAAAACAAGAAACAAAAAAACACACCCCACTATCCCTCCCAAACATTTCCCTGAGCCTGTCAGTGATCCAGAGCTGTACCAAGCTGCAGTCTTCTCTCTCCTCTCTTCCTCCTCTCACAGAGACTCAGCCAGCACAGGAGCCATTGGCTTTTAATCAATCAAATGGTGTGAGGAGGGATTGTGGGTAGGGCAAAGCTACACTGTGTGTGTCAATAGACACAGGCAGTGTGGCTCAGGAGCCAGCCCACAGTTGTGCGCCCATTGCAAGTGGCTTTCTAATGGGGCACACAGAGTTGAATTGGATGGACTTTTGTCTTTTTTTCAGCCAGACTAACTATGTAACTATGTAACAGGCGACACAAGAGGAGGTTTGGGGCTGCTCTATGTAAAACCATTGCACAGCGCAGGTAAGTATACCACATTTGTTAATTTAATTAAAAATTGTAGGCTTTACAATCACTGTAAACACGTAAAGTACAAAATGTGTTGGTTGTGTGCATAGGGTCAGCCTGGCTTACCCATTCTCTTCCAGTACTATGCATTGAGTCAGAGGTCAAAGTATACAGGCCACTATGTGACACAATGTCCTGGACATTTCAGATGGCAGATTCAAGGGGTCACATGTTTTTTACTGCCACCTGTGTCCCTTTTAGGGTCCATGCACACTGGCTAAAAAAAAAAAAAAAAAACCGCCAGTACTCTTGACAGAAAAAAATGCAAATTTTGAAAGGTTTTTTGTTTTTTGTTCTAGTGTTTAGCATTTTTTTTTCTTTCAGAAAACGGGTGTAAAAAATGCAAAAAACATAAGGGGTTTTTTTCTGCCTCTAAACACCAAACTTAAAGTGGTTCTCAAGGATCAAGGTTTTATACCTTCATGTACTCTATGCACGAAGATAAAAAATGTTTTGTGTGCAGTCAATCAAGAAAGAGTGGGGCGGGTCCTATTCGTCTTATGGATGCACAGAGCAGCAGTTCAGCGATGAGCATGCAGCGGTGCCCCCAAGGTGAACGGCTTTCCCTGGGAGCACTGATCAAGGGGGCGTAGCCAAGAGTGCTGGTGGGGACATGAAAAGAAGAGGATCTGGGCTGCTCTGTGCAAAACCACTGCACAGAACAGGTAAGTATAGACATGTTTGTTATTGAGAAAGAAAAAAAAAAAAAAAAAAAAAAGAAAACCCCAAAGTCACTTTAAAATATGCCTCTTAATGACCTAATGTGCATGGACACATAGGATAACATTAGTTGTTTCTACAGGCAAAAGACTAAGCTCTAGAAGCAGCATTTTTTTTAAACCAATGTGCATTGACCCTTAACCTCCCTGGCGATTTTTCAGATTTTTTGAGTTTTTTGGTCCTGAAATGGTACCATTTTTTTGCATGGAAATATGTATTTTCCATTGTAGGCTGTAATTTTTAGGAAAAACTCACTGAAATCTGTCCGAAACATAGAGTCTAGTAAACAGTTGACAAAAATTTCAACCATTCACAAAATCCAAAAAATTATAATTTAAACAGCAAAACGTTAATCAGGGATAATAAATCAATAATAAAAATAATAAAAAATGTAATTCAATAATATAATCAAACCAAAAACACTGAAATTTGAAATATCTCTTAGGCC